ACCAGTGCACCCACGGCCATATCTCAGCTCCATGATTGAGATTATAGCACTGAAAAAATAGTTACTGTCAGTTTAAACGTCTTCTGGGTTCACTGCGGATWAACTACATTTGTGCATTTAAGAACTCACCGCTCACTTTATTGTATTTTTATGCTGAAATCTTTACAGGTGGTGCAGAATTTGTAGCAGACTGGTTCTACCTGTTAGTACATCAGGTGGTTTCTGAGAGTTACAAGGTTCTGTAAAATCACTCTGAAAAAAATACAGCAGTGCACTGATATTAGACATTTTAATTTGTACTTTTGAATACTTGAGTACTTTTAAATGCATGCACTTTTAAATACTTATTTAGTACTTTAACTTGAGTAGATTTTTGACAGAATAACTTTTGCTTGTAGTTGAGTAGATTTGACCCCGAGTATCAATACTTTTACTCAAGTACTAGAGCTGTGTATTTTGTCCACTACTGATTCTAACCTAATCATCCTAAGTTAATAAAATGTAACAGTAAAAATATACTCTATATTTAAAATAGGCACAAGTGTGGAAGCTTTTGTTGACTTGGGTGTGAAAAACACATCTGGTTATCTATCACTGTAATTGTCACTTAAAGTGCCTGTGACATCTTATTTTTGTAATAAATATAGAAATGCATTTTTTTGAAAGATAACACTGATAAAATATAGTAAAAATATTTCACGTGAGATGAACAGTTGAGTTCCCCTTTGATGTCACTTCCTGTTTCATTTTGGCTCAGCCAAAATCAAAAGAAAAAGTCGAAATGAGTAAAATTTTGTGTGTTATGCAAATTTTCTTAAATATGGAGAAGTTTTCTTTGACTTTTTGGTTTTGAAGAATACATATGTCAGAGCCACTTTAAGACACTCCTTGAATAAAATAGATAAACACGTAGGAAGAAATATTTCTAAAAATCACACACATGATTGAAAATAGTCTAGATCACAAAATGTCAAAAGAAACACAGATCAGCCGCAGAAATGTATGAGGAAATGAGTAACAGCCTCCATCATTAGGAGTGTTGAAAGTGCCTGAAATCAGGACACTAAATTAACGAACCACAGCCGTCTTATTTTCCACAGTGACACGCACTGGTTCCAGAGGATGCTGTGTCTTGACGCTGGTGTAGAGGCCTCCACACTGGCTGCAGCTGGGTGTGCTGCCACTGAAAACAGAGCATTCAGTCAGGACTAATGACAGGAAAACATGTCGTTCTCTTAGGTTTACATGGTCGAAAAAAAAATATATATATATATAGAAATACCTGTAAATTTTCTTTCTATATTTGTAAAGCAGACAACCAAGTAGCAGCAATGGGATGAGTGAAAGAGTCCAAAGGGCTGAAAGTCCACCTGCCAACAAAAAGCATTCAAATTAAATGTGTAAACATTTCTTTAGTTTATTACACGTACAGCTTTACCTTTGTCTTCACGAAGCAACTCATTTTGCTCGCAGCTTGCTGCAAAACAAAGACGTTTTCTCATTAGAGCAAAACAATTTGCCTTGAATTTTGAAATAAATGAAGGAAAAAAGGAGATCAGATCAGACAATAATAATACTCACAGGTACAGTCGGCTGTGAAATCAACAGCATATTTAGATTCCTGTAAAAAAATAAAATAAACCACAGAGACTATTGTTATAAAAGATATTTAGGTAGTTTTGATCAAGTGTGGAGATATTTCTACTGCATCTTCTTTGTATCATTACATTTTCAATCCCTCATGGCACATTTAAAAGTGACATACACAAGTCTTCAATGTTTTCATATTTTCATGTCTTTACGGAAATGTAAGAATGTCGTCTTTTTTTTTTTTTTTTACAATTTAAATCACCCATGGCCATGAAAGGTGAGCGAACATGTAATAGCCTGGGTCTGTGTGTGTATAAAGTGAGTTATTTTAAAAAAGTTGCTAAATGTGCAGGAATTTCCAAAACACATTTACCTCAGAGGTGCAAGGTGTTTTCCAGTTCAGCTCCGTGAAACATTCAGACGTCTGAAGAGAGCCCAGACTCTTTTTCATCACCTTCGCATGTTGGTTTGAGTTGGTTGCAAGAACGTACTAAAGGTGACATAAAAAAAGAAAACAATGTGCAAATATTTGTTTAATAAAGATGCAGTTTGGTGCTCATTTAAATCCGACACTATAACATATTTTCCTGATACGAGATTTATGCACGAGTTGTTTTTTTATACACTCAACAGTTTTCTAATCTCATAAAGTGCTATCAGATCACACAACTCCAGTTCCTTTAAAAAGACATTTCCATTGTTCTTCTTTCTGCACTGCAGGACATCTGACAGACTGTGGTTTTATCTAACACTTTTTATGTCTTGCATTTTTTTTAAACTCCAATGAAACCTCCCACTCAGTGAGTGTTGTGTGGCCATGATTTCTGGTTTTATACAGAATAGGCTAAGATTAGGGTTAAAGCCAGAAGTTACAGTTGGGGTTGGATGTCAGGGCGGCAGTTTTACAAACATTAGCATACCCTTTAATGACAGAAGGTATTATTAATAAAAACATACTCCTGTAGATTCATCAGTTTCGGGCCAGATGCCATGCTGCTTCATTTCGTACCCACAAAAGTACAGATTGCTACGAAATGGAAGTGTAACTATTTCTAAATGTTATTTAAACAGATTATAAATCAAAGAAGTAATGATTTTAACTTCTAAAGAAAGAAAGGCAAACTGGTAAAAGGTCAAAAACCAGGAAGATGTTTCTGTGTCTTAACTTACACTTCCGTTGGCCCAGGAGAATATACAGGTGCTCTTATTTTCAGGCAGCGGTGATGTGTCCACAACGTAAGTCACCTGTTTACCACTGCGAGACTGCGTGCAATTCAGGACCACAGCTCTGCAGAGATGGACCAGGACCACTGGGGATAAAAACAAACATCAATGATAACTAAAAATCAGTGGTGGAGAAAGTACTCAAACACTGTACTTAAAAGTACAGATAAACAGACAAGAATGTACTCTAGTAAAAGTAAAAGTACCACATTAACATTTTACTTGAGTAAAAGTAAGTAAGTACTTGCTTTTAAAAATACTTAAAGTATTAAAAGTAAAAGTACTTGCTTAATGTATATTTTAATACATYGATGGTGCCATTTTAGAGAACAATGCTGCAGATAATGCATAGTTTTGTGTTTACACTCTGTGGCACTGTTCACACTTGGACTTGTGATTCTGTGCATCATCATAGATTGTACTACAGAAGATGTAAATTCACCACCAACCTCCTCTGTCAAATCTCAGCAAGTCATTTTTTTTGAACCAGTTAAATAAGGCCATGAATGGCACATTTCCTGTGGGCATGCTGATGCTCTGCTTTTTTATGAAGGAGGGTGTAATGGTACTTTCCTGTTTTGTTCAATGGACCAATTTACAGCAATTCCCCCTCTTACCACTGATTATTTTCTAACCAAAAAATCAAATAAACC